ATAATTATCTGCTGCTTGACCTTTATCAGAGTGTTTGAGTGCTCCATCTAGCAAACCACAAACACTTGTCTCTGCAGTGTAAATATAGATTTTGATAGGAACTGCATGAATGTAGCATTACTGTTCCTACTGTCACTGGAGTTGAAGGATGGTTGCTGTATAACACCACTGTTTGATGAAGAAGCAAAGTGGTGCAATGACAGAGAATGAAAGTCTCTGTCGCCTTTGTGTTTTTGCAGTGTAAGATAATTACAAGCTATACTTCATGCCTAACTGCAAACCCACATTGAAATAAAATCGGATTTGGCCATTATTATCATCAACAATGATAAAAAATTAAGTTGTTGCCACGAAATATTAAGTTAAGCTCCATGAAGTAAACAAGTTGTTCCCATGAGTTATTAAGTCGTGCCCACAATGTTGTGGCCACAATTTTTTTTCCCCATATCACTAGACAGGCTCCATAGCTACAAACAAAATAAAATGCATAAACTGACATCAGCAAGAACATAAACAATGATTTAATAATTAAGGGCACAATGTGATTATTGTCAATCAGGATCAATCAAAAACAAGCTTTGAAAATGCAGCAGTGTGCGTTCTTTCGTATTTGTACTTAACTTTAAAGTATTTACATATGAATGGAAGTCTAAGAAAACACTGAAATCTCCCTAAAAGGAGCATTAAACCTTCCTAGCGATTTCGCTCGTCGGTTCCAATAACGTGTGACGTACTTGCGTGATGATAATATCCAAGATGGCGTCGCGGCAGAATCGCTTCAAACTTTACATTTCAAAAAGATTGAGATACTACGGCCGGCTGCAACATGTGCCGAGCTTTAATCACAATACAAGTCTAAAATACATTAACATCCTGAAACAGCTCACCACACAGCATGCGACTGATTTATACGAATGTAAAGTGTTTGATACGTTGCTTGGCGACGACGGTGCCCCTTGAGTGGGGCGGGGGGAAACAGCCACACCTGCCATGAATGTCCCAGGTAACATTTCTGCATTAAGAATGTTTTCTTATTGGTCTGATGTAAAATATTCTAATCTTAAATGTCATGTTTTCATTAGCTGTGAGCAAGAAATCATCATTGTTAATAGAAATAAAAACTTTAAAACATTAGTCTGTGTGGAATTAACCTATGTATTGTTCAATTTGTGAGCTGAGTTACTGAAATACAGGAACTTGTCACTAAAATTCCAATATGTTCAATATGACTGTAGTTGACAAGGACTGCCGGAGTGATGCTCGCTCATACGTAAGGTCTTGTACACTTTTAGCTACTTAAAAGGCTAAGATGACAGAGGCGAAAATAAATAACATCTGAACGGGTGTTTTCCACAGCTGAGTCTGGAAAGATTGTTCTTTGTGCAGACATTTGCATTTCATGTTAAAATGTTCATTTGACAGAGGGATTCTTATTTTTTAAGCCGACTTTAATTTAGTTTGAATCAAATACAACCTGGTGCACTTTTTGGGTTAAAAAGTTTATTTCAAAACTCGATGAGAATCGATAGGAGACTCAATAAGGAATCAAGATCATAAGTGATATCAATTCCCATCCCTGCTGCTAAGCATGGTGGAGGATCTGAGACGCCGTGGGAACCTTGTGAGACTGGATGGAAATGTGGTATTTGAAATAAAATTCTGCAATATCTGTGCTCTTCATAAAAAAGGTGAATTCATCTTAAATATTTTTGCACATTTGCGATAAGAGGAACCAATAGGCGCAGAGGACAATGTACGCGGGTAACTATCTGAAAGATCAAGCTAGGCAGCTGAAGACAGATCACAGCCCCACGCCTCAGACATGAGCAGGAGTGCTCAGACTTGTTTTGATTTTTTTTGTGTCTGCAGCTCATGGCCTCGGATTCTGGACGGACCGGTCAGCGGTGCACGAGGCCGCCGCGCAGGGCCGAGCCCTGCAGCTGCAGCAGCTCATTGAGGCGGGCGCTGCCGTGAACATCGTTGCAGTGGACTCCATCACCCCGCTGCACGAGGCCTGCATACAGGGTCAGACCCAGTGCGTCAGGCTGCTGCTGGCTGCCGGTGCACAGGTGAGGTGATCCGGATGTGGCTGTAGGCATGAAAGTGGCTCTTCTAATGTGTTTGCATGCGACTACGGGGCCGTCCTGCAGGTGGACGCTCGGAACATCGATGGTAGCACCCCGCTGTGTGATGCCTGCGCAGCCGGGAGCTTGGATTGCGTCAAGCTGCTGTTGGAGTATGGAGCGACCGTCAATCCTCCACTCTTCACCTTCTCTCCTCTTCACGAGGCGTGCATGGGAGGTAACGGGCTCACGCAAACGGCATTGCAAGTCAGCAAGATATTCAATCTCGAGATAGGTTATCATGCTCACATTTCCTGGGGCTTCTTTTGAAAATCCTCTCAGGGCTTTCAAGGCGTTTAGTTGAGTCCAGATAGTGTTTTTTTTTATTTATAGTGGATAGATACAAGCCATCTTAAGCTTTTGTATGGTGTTTGAATTTACACAGATGTGTTGTCGAAAAGTTCTTAGCTAGCTTAGACATTTCCTCTTTTAGCTCTTTTAGGCTTTGTTAAAAAAAAAGAAAATCACCGTTGTGTTCTCTGTTTTAGATATTTCTCACATGCAGCTGACATAGATGTATATATATATCTCTATATACCTTGTATCTCTAATAAAGTCACCTTGTCTTTCATATCAGGTAACTCAGACTGCGTTCAGCTGATGATCGATCGAGGCGCCTTCATGGAGGCTCACGACTGTCACTATGGAACGCCGCTTCACGTAGCGTGTGCCAGGCAACACTTCGACTGCGCCAAAGTCCTGCTCATTGCAGGTAACTGAGCCGACCCCTCCAAACGGGCTGGTTACCGTTTTGCTTCATTACAGTCACAACGTGTAAACTATTGGAATATTATGAGATCCAACCGATACAAAGTAGCACCTCCACCGCCTCTGACAATATGTGCGGAGTTGGTGTCTAGCTAAAAGGGGAACCTGCGAAATTGTTGGAATTTTTTGCAGCTTCAAACAGCGAATACAAACACAAATGTTTGTCACACCTTGCACAATTTTATCAGTAAAACATTTGGAAATAATCCGTTTTACTTTTAGCTTACAGTCTTGTGCTGCTTTGTGTTGGTGCGTCACACGAAATCCCAGCAAAATACATCAAATTACTAGAAAGTGTGGAAAAGTTAAGCTGGTCCGACCACTCCTGCTAAGCTCTGTACGACCAGCACCCAAACGTGAACGCCTCATCCAGGAACAATGTGATTTATTTTATTTCTCCCAGGAGCAAACGTGAACGCTTCCAAGCTCCACGAGACGGCCCTCCACCACGCCGCCAAAACTAACAACACCGATCTGATAGAGCTGCTTGTGGAGTTCGGGGGGAGCGTTTTCGCTCGAGACAACCTGAACAAGAAGCCAATCCACTACACCAGCGTGGGCTCTCCCTCCTACCTCTGCCTGGAGTTCTACGAAAGTACGTGTTCCCACTTGAACTGCCCGTTCCTTTCAGAGGGCGAGAGCTTCGGCAAATATCAAACATCTGGTGTTTGCTTTTTTCCCCTCCCCAGATACTCCCCTGAGCCTGCAGCAGCTCAGCAGAGTGGCTTTGAGGAGGACTCTAGGCGCAAGAGCGCGCAAAGTCATTTCGGAGCTGCTCTTGCCCAAGAGCATCAGAAGATTCCTCTCGTACGTGAAGCCTCTTGTCTTTGAATTATGACTGCATTTGACAGACTCAAGCGTAAATCTGTGGAGTTTCGTGAGCTGCTGATGGGGTTTTCTCAGGATGCAATGTGGCAGGCTGCTGAGGGTGCAAAAAGAATTAAAAAAAATCTGGACTGTGAAACTAGCCAGATGTTTTAAAAACAGGCAGGCTGTTTGAATCTAGAGGCTAAACACTCAATTACCTTGTCTAATAAACAAGTAGTACATCTCCTTATTAAAGCAGTATGAAACAAAGTTTCCGTTGTGTTGGCCAGTCCAGATCTTTTCTTCAGGAATGTGTATGAAATTACAGAAGAATTCTGTTTGCTTGTTACTACAGGCCACCGTCCTTCCAGTGTTAGCGCTGTTGCCGTCACCTGGAATCTGTTTTTTTATGTTTCTTTTAACTGGTTTCAACCAAAATGATTAGTTTGAATCACTAACGGACTTTGGAGCACCGCTACTCATTTAGGTGGGGTGAAATCTGTCTACTTCTCTGGTAATTCAGAAATATTCTGCTCAAAAAAAATAAAGGGAACATGTCACTTTAATTTTGTGTGTGGCTCCAAATCCAGACCTCCATTGGTTAATAAATTTGATTTCCATTGATGATTTTTGTGTGATTTTGTTGTCAGCACATTCAACTTTGTACAGAACAAAGTATTCAATGAGGATATTTCATTCATTCAGATCTAGGATGTGTTATTTGAGTGTTCCCTTTATTTTTTTGAGCAGTGTATATTAGCTAGGGGATCGTAGCGTACTGCTGACTTCTAGGCAACAAAAGCTTCTAGGAAACTCTCTATAGAGAGTCTTATGTAGAGGCAAACATTGTTTATATTCCACTTTGTTCACTTTGTTTAACATATATTCCAGTCCCCAACAATAAAAAGACGAGGTTTTAATACAGTGGAATACATATGTAGCTTTTTTTTTTAAATTTATTTATTTATTTCTGGAAATGTTATTAAAGTCTCTAATGATAAACTGACTCTAAACAAATGTATTGTTCCATTATTAGCACTGTACAATTGTGTGCACTTGTATATATTCTGTAACAATATTTATTTTTTATGTAAATATGTAAATATTACAGATGGTTATACCTCTATGAAGTTCATGGAAATAAAAAGAAAACAAAATCGGTATATTAAGAATTGCTTTATATCTTTTGTTCGTTACACAAGTATGTAAACACATAACATTTATAAACTTTTTACTTAAGTAATTTCTTGCCAGAGGAATATAATTTTGAAGCAGCGCCTCTCTGAAAGTACATTTGTTTCTCGTTCAGTCAGTCTCAAGAGGCTCGGTTTTGATTTACATTCAAGCTATCTTTAAACTGAAAGGGACAATATATTTTAGTTGGAGAAAATGTATTGTTTGTGCTGCTTTGGCTTTGAAGATATTAGTGGAAGTGTAAAGGTCAACCGGTCAACCAGTCCCCCCACTTCTATGAAATCAAACAAAATTGGTGTCAAATGTTTGTACTACGTTTGTCCTGGTTTGTGCAGGAAAAATTTTCGTTTGTGCCGCTATCATTTTAAAGATATAAAGAAATGTTTCTAGAGGTCATCAAAGGTCAACCAGAAATCAGAAATTTCAGATAAGAATTACGTCAGATCAATAAAATAAAAAAATCATGAAGAAACGTGGGCTTAATGTTAATACCAGCTTAAATGTTATTTTCTGACGGTACTTGTGTCTGACATATTTGGCTTACTATTTTACTCAGTAAGTAAATCTGTAATGGAAGATATTGTTGGTAGAAAAACAATAATAAACCATGCTGCTCTTTTCGAAACGCATGAATAGGGCCAGGTCATTAGAAGTAGAAAAAAAAAGAAAAGCTTAAGATTAGATAAAAGCAACTGCAGTCAGGCAGAAATGAACTTCAGACCCCACAAAACATGCCCACGGTGCACTCCCATAATTTATGCGTTCATTCTGTCTGAGCCGCCCTGCAGCATGACTGAACATGAAAAACAATTACTGAGCTCCGACTGCAGCAAACATTTAAATGCTTGTCTTGATTGTGAATGAAACAGTCAGAGAACTCACACCCTTAACCCAGCCTGAACACATATTTTGTTCGTAGGATTTGACCGGAAGAATCTCAAAAGGATTCATTACGGAAGTGTTACCTGACTGTGGGGCTGCATGTAGATTAGGAGCGAGGAGAGTCATTGTTTGGGTTAAAATAACAGGAGAAGCTAATCGCACCCTGAGAGACTCTGCTTTGAAAATATAAATCATTAACCACAGTCCTGAACTGGTCACTTAATGTCCTACATTTCCCAGAAAAAAAGCTGTTGAGGTGTTATGCAATAAATTCAACAGGGTTCCTGTCTTATCAAAATTTCACACTTTTCCAAGCTCAAATTCCCAACGTTCTCAAGTCGACATTTATACCGTGGTCAAAGCTTTACGTGTACGGAGCTACATAGATGGAAAAAATCTGATTGATACATTTATGGCGAAAAAAATAGACAAACTAAACAGGTTGACAAATGGATGGGTAAATATAAAAATTATTAACGAATGGACAGATAGGAAGGATGATTTACAAACTGATTAGAGAACAAATGGATGGACGAATCAATAGATGCATACTTGTAGAGGATGGGATAACATAGAGTGTTTAAAATGCAAAAATGCTCTTATCCAGATTTCTGCTGAATTCCAAACTTTTCCAAAAAGCAAAAAAAAAAAAAACAAAAAAAACAATCCTGAATTTAGATGAAGAAATCTCAGAGAAAGAACCAAACTAGGAGAAATATCACAATATGGGAGTACTTTTAAAGAGCTATACCCAGTTTTCAATTATCTATTATCTACATACGATTAGAAAAACAAACAAAAACAAAAAATCAATGACACCAATTTATAATCAAGAGCTTTTCAACTGACTGTAAAATGATTCAGAAAGTCAAGCTATTCAGAAATCTAGCTTCACTTCCTGAAGTCTGTCGGTCATTTGATGCTACTTTAAGCCCAAGCTGTTTATGACATGGGGGGATGGTGGAGGGTCAGGTGCTCTTAACTGCAGAGAGGAACAGGATGACAGAAAACCAAGAGCAAACCACCTCCTCTGTTGACTATGTAACTGATCCGAACACACCGAGCAGAACGTCACCTGCAAGCAGCACGTCCGTTTACGGCCATATGAGTTTTGAGAAAGACGGTTTTCAGTCAGACTGCTGATGGTCATTTATGGCTGAAGCCTCCATCTGCATGTCGAGCAGTTTGTCGCTTTGTGAAGGTTTTATCAATGTTCGGGAGGAAATGGGATTATTGAGAAACAGTAAAAAAAAAACAATAAAAAAAAACAGGCAGCATATGTAGGACTTCAAGGTTTCTGAATTTTCTGAATGTTATTGAAGAAGTTTGTTGAAGTTTAGAGATATTATCTGGTCACAGCGATGAAGTAGTCCATCTACAGAAATAATCTCATTTCCTCTTAGGTGAAGGGGAGCAAAGGGGGAAGTCGACTATGTGTCTGTTTCTCATTTAGGCAGTCGGCTACTTTCCTTTCATGTTAGTTATATTTGCCAATGGTAAGAAGCAGAATTATCTTATTGTTTTAATGCAAATTATAAGGTTGGCTATGACATCATTTTCAAAAACTGATCACTATCAAGTTAATGATTGATCAATTTGGCTACTATTTACATATATGAAAATGTTATTTTCTTTTGCATGTGTGTCAGGTTGACGTTATCCTTGCAAATCCTGATTTCTTCTTTCAAGCAAAAAAAAAAAACTCCTGACTCCATTTAAGTGCCAACAAGCTTGTTAGGTAAAACTAATCATTGTTTTTTCATTTTATTTGAGTGTTTTATCTAAATGTGCTCAGTTACCTAACTGGCTCTGACCAGTTATTCTTTAAGGTTCTTTCTTTATCTATAATGTGATTTCCTACTCAAGGGGTCCATTTGTTTCGTTATCTCAGCATTGTTCTACTGAAGAAGGTCATCATAAATAAAAGCCAATTTCCAAGCAGAGTTGAGCAGAGCTCACCAATCTTTGATCCCGAGCAGGTTAGAGGTTGTGGATCTCTCCCTTTGCAAAGAAAGGCATAAAAACCTCATTGGTTTTGAGGTAATGTGAAAGACCCCAACAAAGCTGCTGTCAGCCATTGCAGAAGCACAGAAAAAGGAACTAAACCTGCATCAGAGCATTTTTTTTAAAATAAGTCGACCACACGAAACAGAAAAAAAGAAGAAGCCCAAATTTCAGTTCAGGAACCCTAAGTTGTAAAAATGTTTGGTAACACTTTATTTGAAGGGGTGTGCATAAGACTGACATGACACTGTCATAAACATGACAGAACACCTGTCATGAACATAAAGAAGTCTTTATGAATGCTTATGACTTTTGTCATGGAGTGTCATTCGGTAAATAATGACACTTTTAATGCAAAGTTGCTCTAAAAGTTGCATTGAAAGTCCATTAAAAATGCCAACTTTGCATTAAATTATCATAATTTACAAAATCATGCAGTCGGCACTTTTAATGGACTTTTAATTCAACTTTTAGAGCAACTTTGCATTAAAAGTGTCATTATTTACCGAATGACACTCCATGACAACTGTCATAAGCATTCATAAAGACTTTATGTTCATGACAGGTATTATGTCATGTTTATGACAGTGTCATGTCAGTCTTATGCGCACCCCTTCAAATAAAGTGTTACCAAATGTTTCTTTTTATAAAAGACAATCTTTTAGAGAAATGGCGCAGTGACACTGTGTTTTAGAAAACCCATCAGTAGCAGGAAGTGGCTGAAAGGGGTCAAAGTGCAACTGAAAAGTGAATGCAGTGCAAACACCTCCCAGCCAATAAAACGCAGTGCAAAGAGTAACAAGCAAACACGTTTTACTTATTTTTGCCATCTAGCTCACAGGTTTTCACAGATTACATTTATATACATCTTTTTCAGCTTTTATTGAACATAGCAATATCTCGCTTGCTATCTCGCAGCGCAAACATTTCCAGACCCACGTGAAGCTCAGATGTCAGCTGGGCTTCGTCATCCCTTTATCTCGGACCAGATAACTCAACGTTAAACACATCGACCACAGGATGAAACCGGAGAGCAACAAGTGGTGTAAAACTTTTAACTCAGTCAAGTGAAATGGATCGCCTTTTCCTTTATTTTTCTCTTTTTTTTTTTGTAAACTAAATACATGTTTTAAAAAACACAAAAACACACTTTGGACGGGGAGAGGGGAAAGCTAAAAAGTCAAGCATGATAAAAGCAATGAGACAAAGTTGACTGACAGGACACATGCTGAGGAAGCGTCCGTCCGAGAGAGACGCCCTGATTGGCTCTGTCTACACTCCGGTTTCCTTCCTCCTTTGTGATCCCTGTAACTTCTGCTCCAGCCTGTTTCTGGACAGCGTCTGACGCCGGAGCTTCGGGCCGGGAGGAGGCGGGCAGTTCTCGTCTGTCTCCTCGTCGCAGGTGGAAGAGGGGAGGACGGGCTGGACTGTGGCTGGAGCCCCCTGCTGTTGGGTGATTGCGGTGCGCAGACAGTTGAGCCACTGCTGTTTGTGGTAAACGTCGCTGACGTGCAGCGTGTGCGACTGGCCGTGGGACGGGTCGGTGGAGCTCACTCGGAAAACGTTCTTAGCTGCAGAGGAAGCAGTAGAGGGGAAAAGTCAGGAAAAAAAAAAAAGTTATTTTGAGAAAAAAACAACAACAAAAAAACAACAAAAACACACACACACCATTCTTTGGCCAGAGGTAAAAGAATCAGCTACTTAGCTTCACATTTTTTAGATTATTCTCTTTTTTTTTTCTTCCTTATATTCATCCCCAAATGTAAAAATAACAAATATTTACATATACTATATACATTTCCCTACACTTTCAATAGAGGACCTAAAAAACATATACTTCTTGAGCATCAATAACTTCAGTGTTGTCTGCAGGATCGTCTTTTTGGAACTGGCATCTGCATGAACACTGAAGTGGAGGTGAGTTTTAGCAACATTTTTTTAATTATTTCTGCTTTTGTTCTAGAATAATATCAAGACCAGACTGAATCGTACTGGAAGTTCAAGAGTGGGCAACAGAAGCTGGTGTAAAAGTTA